TAGACATAGTTGGCAGGCCTGTCTGTAGATTCTGTGTTACACACACAGGCTATGAAGAAGTGAAATATCTGCCTCTGAAAATAAGTTTTTGTGATAACTACGATGACGATACCACATCAGGGAAGTTTTTGGCCAGCGAAATAACTATCAGTGCCCAAGGGGATTATTTTCTACCAATGAAGTGCGGGGAAACTAGACAAAAGCTTATCACATTTCTTACCAATCTACTTTGCCCGAAAGCCTATGATAGGCATGTGAGGTTAGCTTAAGTCTGGTTATGTTTGGTTGGATTACTCTTGGTTACGTTACGTTACGCTAAGAAATGTTATGTTCAGGAAAGTTACATAAGTTTAGTTAAGATAAGGATCGGTTAGGTTAAGTCAGGTTGCGTTCTGTTAGCTCAGGTTACTTTAAATTTCATAATATTGGCTTAGGCTAGGTTAGTTTAGAATTAGATAAATTATGTTAGGTTATATTTAAGTAAATGTAGGATAGTTTATTTTAAGTTAGCTTAGGTTAGGTTTGGTTATGTTAGGTCCACTCCACCTCCACTCAATAGACATCGAAATCAAATTTACGTCTATTCCCTGCATTTATCCATGATTATATTAATATAATGATTGTAATTGTCATAGTCAGGCATGCACACATCTCTTATGTACTTTGTAGCCATCTCGAAAACTAGGAACCAGGAATAAGGTGTAGCGTTCATGTTAACCGTGTTGACCAGGCTAACACTGTGAATGAAAAACCACAAGTCTTCTGTTTTAATTTTGTTGTTCAGTGGTACTCCATGCACTAGGACACAGCAGAATCGACCATATAAAATGCGTCGTTAGCCATCTCTATCCAAGAAGGGGTTGTTAGTGTATGCTCACGGCGAATGTAATCCTTAATTAGCTGGCTAACGATGTATTTTATCGATTGGTTCTGCTGTGTCCTAGTGCATGGAGTGTCACTGAACCACGGAAGTAAAGATCAAAGTGTTAGCCTGGCTAACACGGTTAACATGGCACGAATATGAAATAATATGCAAAAATATAAATTTTCAGAATAATATGCACAAACTTGTAGGCGCTATCAGTAATATTTTGGGAGCCATGGCGACTGTGGATTTTCCTCGGTACTTCCGCACACAAAAGCTGCTTTTAAGCTCGCCTAATGTGATATTACAGGTTGTTCCGGGTTCTTCAAAAGAAGCATTCATCGTAATCGAGTGTACACCTGCAAAGCGGCCGGCGACCTAAAGGGACGTTGTCCTATTGACAAGACGCACCGAAACCAGTGTCGGGCCTGCAGACTCAACAAGTGTTTCCAGGCGGCAATGAACAAGGACGGTACGTAATGACAATGAATAATAGTTCTCGGGCTGCAACATGCCGGCCCTAAATATCCCGCACGTGGCACATTCAAAATGTAAGCTCTGTTTACCATACAGAAGCTTAATATTAAAGCAGAGACCACAAACCTCGTTCCCCTTCGACAGCGTCGCCATGTAGAAAGCTTAAATCCTTAATAATTGTCGCCAGTGTCCCCGGTCTTGTGGACACGCGTTCTGGAGGTTCTTACTGCCTCTATTATCAGGGTATCGGCATGGAACAGGACGAGGATTCCAGATATGGAGCGTAGTTAAGAATATATTAAATAAGTATACGCGGACAACCGGAAAGACGTGGTCACTTAGCCTGGGTGTTGGGCGTGGGGATATAATTTCCCCACCGTCCGGATTTTAGGGTTCTTGTGAACACGGTAATCTTCCGGTTTCATGAAAGAAAGGGCATTTCTTGACTAGTTGAGAGTACTATTAACTTCTGAAGAACACCCCCTCCATGGAGTTGTTTTTTGAAGTTTGTGATATCCACTGGCTGAAAATATGCTATCCTCCGGGAAATCTGTGTATGATAAATGAAACAACAGAAAAGAAATACTAATAATGTGTTCATGAATGACGTCAACGCCTTCATCAAATCTATTCGTGACCACTAGGAGCATTCAGAATGTCAAGGTTCAAAGAGCGCGTGTGGAAACTGCGTGTACTCCAGGGCAATTTGTAATCTTCCAACTTTGTTGTATTGTGATAATTTCTTCTGACAGTTTGTGGCTTTCTAAGTGACTGTCACATACTCAAATACATCTTTCGTCTGTCTGTCATATTCCGTTGCATCATTTATGTACGTCTGTTGGAATGACCTTGTGCTATATGGGATTTCTACTTGGTATTATGAATATTCCTGTGTTCTGGTTAGGTTATGTTGTGACTTTCCTGTGTGTGTGTATGAGCCTAATGGAATACAGTTTATGGTTGAGTGATTATGTGTTTGTTACGCATGATTAACTATGTTATAGGTAGTGAGGCAGATGACAGAATGTCTCATTTTGCTGCTAAATTAGGCAACTTTTATAAGCAGGGCTACTTCTAATGTGGGTGACAAAACTGTTCAAATAACTTTATATTAGTATTGCTATTGTTCTCATTTTAAGGGAATGGAAAAGAAATACGAGATAAAGGACGAAAGCAGATGAATATACGAAGGAATTCCTTCTAGAATTTCAACGGGCGATTCCCATTAGTATAGTAATATTACTACACGGCCAGACTGATCTGAAATTTAGTCAGACAGGCCTATAATGATTACATTCAGAATATAGGACGGTGATAAATTTAAGACACCCAAAGTTCTTGGCCTATCTTAGGTCATGAGTATGATTACGTCAGGCTAGAGTAGCAGGCATAACGGGTATGTTAACAGCTGTTCATAAATTAAGAATATTTATGAGAAATACGATGTAGGATATACAAATTTGGAAAATATGCTCAGATTAATGTACAATGTAATGAAATGTATCCTGTCTGGTAGCCTATATTAATTAACGCTCAACGCAAAAGTAATTAAGGAATTAAGTGCAATAGATTTCAACAGTTACTCAAAGAAAGCTGTGTAGAAAAATTGAAATTAAGCTCTGACGGTGGCGTCTCTGGTGACAAGAAATGTAGCCGAGGCTATGATGGAAAAAAGATGGATGTTTGGCGGAGTGGGAGCCTGGAGTCAGGGGGTCTGTTTTATATTGATACGTCTCCATAAAATAAAAGAAACGTAATAGATTTCGTACTTTCAGTAATATTTGCGAGGATAATGCTATGTATAGTAAACTGTATTAATGTCAAACACAAAAGTGTTCATTCCCGTCAGCTTTGACGGGTCATACTACGTTAGTACATTACGATCAGCCTAATCTGTGATTTTAAAACATCTGCATTACTACAGAAAGTGCGCCAAATTTACCATACAAAAACTAACAAGCTGACCAAAACACGACAATAACAAAGCCAATGTTAAAAGGACCAAATATATTGTATTAAGGCCAAGGTAACGCGGACACTGAATACGGTCTCATAATACCAAAATAAGTATGACAAATTGATTAACTAATAGGCATACATATTAAAAGCTGTGTGTTGATGTTGGGAACAAGTAGTCATCGTAAAATATGCCAATATGCCAAGTAACCTTACTGTTGTGTCTGAAACATTATAAGAAAGAAACAAAATTCTCTTTTGAAAGATACAAAGACAAATATGTGGACAGATCTTCTGGTTTGTGACGTCATGTAATTTTGGAGGAACGCGTCGTAACCCAGACGGCCTCAACCCACATTTCCACCGCGCTGAAAACCTCAAATATTAAGGAGAAACTTGTTATAATATGCAGCCGGGAGTCCATTCATCGCGTCTTCGATAAATCAAATTTCCTGGACTCGATTGGAATCGGTGGGGTGCCCGCTTGCTCAGGGGGTGGACACAAATCGAAAATCCTTTATTTCACATTGTAGCATACTGCGTACAGCTTCGACTGTCAATGCGAGTGAAATGGAATCTTGAATGTGTGACCCTTTTATACAGAATGAAAGCATGACATTGAAAATATCTGTCTGATACAAAAATCTGATTGTCACAGTTCCATTACTATAAATAACGTTATTTTCGTTATGCACCCTAGATCATCTTTTGAACCTGCTGTACTCTGCAGCTGGTCCGCGGATTGATACCGATTCCTCAACCGTAAACATATATTTTAAAATATCAGAATTTGGACATTTATTCATATCACTGCTGTTATATAAGAGAACAAGTATGTAAATATAAACGTTAAAGCTAACTCAGCGTGACGTGTTTTATTTGGGCAAATAATGTTACCCAGACGGTCGAGACATCGATTGCCTTCATGGAGTTCAAAGGTTCATTCTCACTAAATCATCATTGATCCCTATTCCGAACTGATTTAATCTATTTGTAGCTTAGATGCGTCATGTTTGTGTTGAACTAAGTATGTATTTATTATTCCAGTCTATACACAAACTTAATTTAAAAATGTTGTTGTTAATACGATGAAAAGCGCTATAATTTTAACAACAACATTTTTAAATTAAGTTTGTGTATAGACTGGAATAATAAATACATACTGATTTAATCTAGTTTAAATTTTATAATAGGTAAGTTCTCTTAACAATAAATATTTCTAACCATAATGATAGATCTATCAACTGACAACAAAAGTAAATATAAACTTATAATGGATAATATATATGGGAAACTGTCTCCTTAATCCCCTTGACAATTTTATGAGGTTTCAACGCAATGTGGGGACAGAGGACATTTTGAAACCAACAACTCAGAAGGAAGGTTTGTCACGTCATAAAATCTAATAGCCAATAAAGTAGCCTACAACATTCCCACATATGAGACCTACACTTGAACTGTTCCTGGTGGGAAGACACAGTCAAATTGATCACGCTCTAGCAGACAAAAGACTGCATTCTGGTAGCCTATGACTGATATAAAGCCTTTAAGGGGAGCCAACTGAGCTTCTGACCACTATCTGATATCCGAAAAAGATAACGTAACTCAATGCAGTGAAAACAATTCTGAGACGCTAATAGTCGCTCAGGTGGTCAAAAACCCCGAAAGCTTATTATCGTGTTCATTAGAGTCCGCCACTGGTTGTTACCATCAGCCAGATTAATCCATTCCACACCATCCAATGGACTACTTCCTACAACATATACGCGTTTCTATTTTGTGCTGTCCTGTGTATACACGCTTTTGAATAGGCCGATTTATTACTAAGGAGTTCAACAAGATGTTTTCTGTCATGTTTCATTGTGTAGTCGGGTAGAATTCTACCGAGATTTCAGAGATTTAAGAGGTGCTTCCAGCCTATGTAATCGTCCTGATGATGGAGGCAGCAAGAACATCTGAAACGTCGGTAAACTTTGACCAGACTTCACGGCGACACATCCTAGAAGACAGTATCTTTATACTCGCCTCCGTGAGAACCTCAAATGTCACCAACGAATTTATCGCTTACCTGAATGGTTAATTTCTTCAGAATAAATTTTGTATGGGACCGCGCTAGAGAGTCTAGACCGTGAAATATGAAGGTGGTTTTAATGAAAACTATATTTCATGTCAAGTACGTTTTTAATTCTGTGAGTCTTGTTACAATAAAATTTAACCCGAAAGTAAAATATGTCCTCCTGTCAATTAACACGGATTTAACTAATGCTGATAAGGAAAGTACCAAACTATCCAATCAGCAAGTCAAATATAAACGAAGAATGAAATTAACCGAACAGAGTCTGAACTCCTGATTCCTCCAATCCCAGGGAGGCTTTGCCATGTTGACAGAAGTGAACGGAGTCCTCTGCCCTCCACATGTACTCCATTAAAAAGTTTTGTGTCTGGAAGGGAGCATTTCAGTAAGCAGTCTTCTTGTGGGGAGGAACTTGAGTGGAAAAGAGGAACAATATTTTAACTCGGAGTTATTATACTAACAGAATCAGCAGCATAGTGATTAGAATAAAACAAAGGAACGCAGATAACTCAAATCAGGACCACTTCGCGATGACACAAAATACCAGAAAGCCTACTATTGTGTAATGGTCATGATTGTAGACTAATGTGAATTAATATAAATAACTTGCTTAAGAGATTAATCTTGGAATGAATAAGATATGAGATTGGCAGAATAGTAGAAGAAACTGGAAAGAAATCGATTGTGAGCTTTTGAACACAGGCTACCATTCCGAAATTCACTTCTCTGACCAACATTTCTGGAATAAAACTTATTATGCCTACTTTCCCTCAAAATTAAGTAGAACGAGCCACTTCTCTCCGAAGTACCTGGCTGCAGGGGTTAATCGTGATGTAACTACTGGACCAATGACTGTGGTTACTGCACGTGACTCTCTCTCCTGTCTGCTTACTGCAAAATTTGTGTTGGCAAATTTACGTAACTTTGTTATATAAGCCAAAGAGCGGAAAAAATAATTCTAAAGG